AAAAAAAAAAAAGATAAGGGCTGAAGTGCTCACTTCGGCATCACATATACTAAAATTAGAACAATATGGAGATTAGCATGGTCCCTACACAAAGAAGAGATGCAAATTTGTGGAGCATTCCATATTTTTATCAATTCAATGTGGAGGTGGAGGGAGTGAGGGACTGGGGAGAGGGGAGAAGAGGAGGATGGGTGTGTTTCTATTTAATGGGCACAATGTTAGGGTGTATGGCGTCCTCTTAGTGGAGGGACATAATTATAAGAGGGACTTTACCTAACAAATGCAAATCTTGTAACCTCAATGTAATTCTTTGTACCCTCAAATACCCTGAAATAATAAAAATAAATAAATAGATAAACAAAAGATAAGGACTGAAAAGCACCCATTGGATTTGGGAGCCAGGAGTTTATCAGGGACATTCACTGGAGCTGGGAGCAGAGGCAGAGAGGCGATGACACAGGTTTGGGAGGTAGAATGAGGTGCTGTCCATGATACAAAATTGTTCTAGTCCAGTACTGGTAACTGTAGTAAAGGACTGGTTTGTGTGTGTGTGTGTGTGGGGGGGGGGTTGTTGTTTTAATTCCTAGTTTCTTATGAACCAATATTTTTGTAAAATAAAATTAAAAGTGAAACCGATCGTGTGCTTGGATGTCATACCAATGTCAAATGTCTATAAAAAGTTCCCAATTTTTATGCTTATCTCAGTGCAGACCTGTAGCAAACATAGGGACCAGCACTGGCCTGCAGATCACACTGTATGTTACACATTTCTATGGCAATACCCCCAGAAATCCCCTAAAGGAACAAATTAGAAAATCCTTAGGGCCTGCAGTGACATGCCTGTGAGGAGGTGGTGCACCAGAGGCTTCAAAGCAATATTTCAAAGCCCATAACCCAGACTTTAGAAAGGGTGATGTAGCAAACATATTGTATTGATGATAGAACTACTTGTTTCTGTGCATTGACAGGTGATATAGTTACAGTTTCCATGCTAGTTCCCTCTAAATCTCATGTTGGAATTTGATCCCCAGTGTTGTATTTGGGGCCTGGTGTGAGGTGTTTGCATCATGGAAATAGATCCATAATGAATGGATTGGTGCCTTTCTCCAGGGATTGAGTGAGTTCTCACGCTTAATTCCCAGGAAAACTGGTTGTTGAAAAGAGCCTGGTACCTCCTCCTCTGTCTTTTGCTTCCTTCCTCTCACTGTATGACCTGTCTGTTTCCCTTTTGCCTTCTACCTTGATTGGAAGTTCCCTAAAGTCCTCACCAGAAGCAGATGCTGGCACCACGTTTCTTATGCAGCCTGCAGAACCATGAGCCAAATAAACCTCTATTCTTTATAAATTACTGGGCCTTAGGCATTCCTTTATAGCAGCACAAATGGGCTAAGACAACAGGGATAGGAATGTAAGAGCAGTAATCCCACCATTCTGGGGTGCTCCTAGTTGGCATTGATCTCACACTATGCCAGCTCCCAAACCACTGAACTTGGGTGCCATTTGTGAGATTCAAAGGAAACATTGGGGAATTATGTCATTTCCCCCACCTGTGGTTCCCCTAGGTCCCTGGCAGGCCTCAAATAAATGCCTTGCCTTTTCTTTTTATTATTTTATTTTGTTAAGTCATATACACATAGATCATGAATACATTTATGCATATGTGGGGTCCAATGTGTTGATTTTTTTATACAATCTGACGTGGTTACATCAAGCCAATCGACATAGCTTTTGCCTTGTTTACTTAATTGTTGTGTTAAGACATTTATGTTCTACGTTTGACAGATTTGACTTGTGCCCTTGCAATAAGCTCCACAGGTGTGGTCCCACCTTTTACCCTCCCTCTATCAAACCTCCCCCCTCCCTTCCCTTCCCACTCCATTTCTCTCCTTCATCCTGGGCTATAGTTGTGTTCTATCTTTCATAAGAAAGTGTGAGTAAATATAATTTGGTTTCATAGAAGTACTGAGTACATAGGATATTTTTTCCTCCATTCTTGAGATACTTTACTCAGGAGAATATGTTCTAGGTCCTTCCATGTAAACATAAAAGAGGTAAAGGCTCCATCTTTTTTTAAGACTGCATAGTATTCCATGGCATACATATACCACAATTTATTAATCCATTCATGGGTCAGACAGAAGAAAGGATTGATGACCTCCATACCACCCCAGCACACCACTGCTCCTTCCTTGGGACCACTGGCCTCTATTCTTATCTTCTTCCCTGGCCTATGGGAAAATACTTTCTGGGTTTTTTTTTTTTTTGTCTTTTTTTAAAAAAAGATTTATTTATTTTTTAGAGACATTGTGACAGACAGTTCTATCACCCAGGCTAGAGTGTGATGGTGTGTTCACACTTAAGCCTTAAACTCCTGGGCTCAAGCAATCCTCCCACCTCAGCCTCCTGAGTCGCTGCAACTACCAGTGTGCCAGTCTGCCTGGCTAATTTTTTTACTTTTTTGTAGAGATAGATGTCTCACTATATTGCCCAGTGTGGTCTTGAATTCCTGGTCTCAAATGATCTTCTTGCCTCAGTTTCCCAAAGTTCTGGGATTATAGGTATGAGCCACTATGCTTGGCTCACTGTACTTGTCTTTTATTTTTCTTAGCATAATGTCCTCAAGGTCCATCCATGTTGTAGTATGCTACACCCTTTTCTGAAGAATATTCTAGTGTATATACCACATTTTGTTTATCCTTTCTTCTGTCAATGGACATTTGGGTTGCTTCCACCTCTTGGCTATTGTCAATGGTGCTGCTATGAACATGGGTGCTCAAATATCTCTTCAAGATCTTGCTTCCAATTTTTTTGGTGTAAGTGGGACCATCATATCATAGTTCCATTTTTAATTTTTTTGAGGTACCACCATACTCTTTTCTATATGATTATACCATTTTACAGTCCCACCAGATCTGCACTTTTCAAAGTGGCATGTTTTTATCTTGCATTTATTTGATAAAGAATGATGTTGTATACTTGTTCACATGTTTCTTGTTCATTTAGATCTCCCTTTTTTTTTGGAGACAGAGCCTTAAGCTGTTGCCCTGGGTAGAGTGCCGTGGTGTGGCATCACAGCTCACAGCAACCTCCAACTCCTGAGCTCAAGTGAGTCTCCTGCCTCCGCCTCCGAAGTAGCTGGGACTACAGGCACCCACCACAATGCCTGGCTATGTTTTGGTTGCAGCCATCACTGTTGTTTGGCGGGCCCGGGCTGGATTTGAACCCACCAGCTCAGGTGTATGTGGCTGGTGCCTTAGTCGCTTGAGCCACAGGTGCCGAGCCTAGATCTCCATTTTTATAAGGTGTCTATTCCGGTCTTTTGTCAATTTTTCTAATAGCTTGCCTGGAAGTGTTCTTTATACATTCTAGACATGAGCTCTTTATTGGTTATATTTGTTCCAAACATCTCCTACTCTATAGTTGCCTGACTTGGAATCACCAGGCTTTCCATTGGCCACAGGAGGAGTGTCCAGAGAAGGCTAGGTGGTCTGATGGGACTCCCATCCTCCTCATCTTCAGTCTCTTCCTGTTGGGACAGTGGGGGCTGCTGGAAGTGGTGCTGATTCTGCTTCTTTCATTTCAACATCATGG